TTTTTCCCCACTTAACTGTTGATTTCTAAAAATTAAGCCTCTAATAATATATATATCTTCATACATCTTTTGAACATGGTAATCTATATTTGTTTTATTTCCTATATTAGGTAAGTTCGCTAAGTAATGGAGTCAAATTTATTTAGCTTAAATATGTATATATTCCTTCAAAGGAAGAATTCAAATAATAATAATTCCAGCATTTCAAATGCTTATTAGTTTAAAAAAAAATTTGGTAAATTTTAAACACCTTATTATCGGGTTTTCTTAAAACAATCCAAAGAGTTTAAATTTATAATAATGCCACAATATAAAATTTTAATATAAAAAAATATGATACAATATAGGTAAACGCTTTTAGATCAGCTTCTTGTACTTCAGTACTCATTGGCATCAATAGCGGTCATGAACTAATTCACTCAGGAAGGAAGCAATATATAATGAAATATATTATTCAAAATACAATACATTATATATATTTATTATATTCAAATACCATTTTTTAATTGTGAAAAACTCAATCTTCTTTCTTTCCTATTCTATGAACAATTATTTAAGACAGTCTTCAAAGAACATAGTGCAATTTTGACCATAAAAATTTATCAAAATGATGCTATATAGTAGTTTAGAAAATAATTATATAGTTTATAGCATAAAGTGTGTGGGAAAGCAATATTTCAGAAAACAAATAAAAACTTAAATAAGTGACTACACTTTTTATTTGGAATATTACGAAAAATTGGTAGTATACATTAAAAATCTTATGGCGGAAACTAGCCACCCCCTTTAACTTTTCATCTATTCGGCCAATTTCTTTAATAATTAGTCAAAATGTGTTTAGTGCTAAAATGTATTTTAGATATATTCATGAAAAATACGTAAAAAATAATTTTAAAACAATTTTACTATCATTTAAAAAAAATATGGTAATATTATATTTTGTGTTTGGTAAAAAAATTACTCAAATCTGATATTTTATACGAATATTATGTATTGGCTAAAATAATTTAAAAATTTTTTATGGAAAGTTTTAAGCCTTATAGATGGATATAGATTTATATGTCTACTTAGCCGATTTCGAAAGACTGGATCAAGGTATTTGATATAATTTAATTTAATTTTGACATAGAGTTAATAAATAAAAGTGCATACGATAATACGATAAGATAAAAAAATTTTTAGGAAGTTAAAAATTTGAAAAATTAACATTTTAATAATAGCTAAATATTTAAGGTTTAAGAGGGTACCATTTCAATCAATGACACAAGAAAGATATTATAACGTCTGCAAGATTATTAGAATGGCCACACCTTTAATTTTTGCTTAAAAAAAGATTATATTTTACGAATTTGTGCCTTTATTGGCTTAACGTAAATATGCAATTAAAAAAGTTGAATTTTATTTTCAAAGGTTTTAAAGGATTTGACAATAAATTCTTGTTTAAAATAGACAATAGACTTTTCCTTTTTTTAATTTTCTCTTCATTTCTTAACTATATCTGAATAATTACAGATACAATTTTTTTAACACAGAAACGAAGATAATAATTAATAAATTTTTTATCAATTTTCACCTCAATAATTATTTATATATAAAATATATTATAATAATCAGGGTTGTGCATCCAAATATGGTCAAATACGGTCAAATTCAAATAAATGTTTTTTAAGACAATATTAACTTTATTTTATATATAATAGTAAAAAAAAAAGAATCTATAAATTAAATTATATTTTTCTAAATTCTATAATTAAATGTTTTGATCTATTCAATATTATCATTTTCTTTAGTATTTAATCAATCTTAGGTTATGATATGCTCTTACGAATTTTCTGGTTGTCGAAATCTTTAATCAATTTCTTCTCTCCGTAGGAATACTGCTCCAAACTGGCAAATTTTACTAAATAAGAAGTAAAACTAGGAATTTATTAATAAGTTATTATAAACTTCTCTTAATGTTAAAGGTGGGAAATGCCCATTTCAATAACTTGAGCCCGAAATCTGATTGGTTTTTATGAAAGTTACTGCTTTCCATAAATTTTACCTATTGTCGTTCTTCTGAAATTTATGATATCACTAAAATATCTTGTAAAATGCCATATTCTTATATTATATCGCATGCTACATCCAACTAACTACTAGTAGGATAATCCCCTTTATTGGGAATACAATAAATAATCAGCAGTTCAGTGTGAGCACATGTATTTGGATTGTTTTCTTTTTCAAACCTATCTTTATTTTTTTTTCTTCAGGTGGAGAAATTGTATAATCATGGGATGATTGTATGTTGATTAAATCAATATAGTTATTCATTAATAACATTTTAGAGTATTTGACCAGGTCAAATACTCCTTCTGTCAACTGACCGTGACCGACTGTCAACCCTGATAATAATACAACACAAGGTGGAGTGATATTTTTGCTAAGGTGGGAAATGGAATGTTATTTTGGAAGCGAGATTTTTTTCAGCCTAATTACAAATATTGCTTCAAAATTTCTAACTGTGTCTACTAGCACTGGTCTATTTCAATTCAAAAAGTTACTTTTTGTGCTGACAGTTACAACTTCATATTTCCAAAAAATTATGGATAAAATATTATTAGACGTGAGTGGGGTTATATTATTTAGAGGATTTATTGATTTTTGGTAAATATGCCGAGGATCACTTTAATAATTTGAAAACATGGATGAATTTGGCTTATTAAGAAATATTAAGAAGTGCAAATTTGTTTAAGATACTATTAAATATTCAGGTTACTTAATAGGTTGTAAGGGTATATAGCCAATTAAATAAAGAAAAAATTGAACCTATTATGAAGATGGCTGAACCTAAGAATCAAGATGAGTTATATTCATGGTTAAGACTTTTATCAATCAAGGTTTATCGAGTTCTCAAAACTGGCATATATTTTATATGATATTGTTAAAAAGGCAAACAATTTTATCGGGATATTAATGAAAGGGAAGCGTTTACTAGATCAACAACAGATTGTTTAATAAGCCAATATTAACGCAATATGGCAGTGATAATGAATTATATATTTTAACGGATGGCTTCCAATAAGGGTATGGGAGCAGTAATGCTCCATGTTGAGAAAAATTGTCATGAGAGACAATTGAATTTGTGTCTAAAGTATTGGTCAGTTGCTTAAAATAATATATTACAATATCGAGAAAGAAGGATTCACAATAGTTTTAGCAGTTAAAAAATGAAGTGAATATTTAGTCGGTAGTAGCAAACCTATTGTTAATTTATATAGGCTGATCTAGTAAATTATATATGTTACCGGGCTATAATGGGCCTTGTGTTTAATAAGGTATAAGTTCAATATAAATTGTGGAAAGGGGAAATATCAAGTAATTTTTAATAAATTATCTATAATTAATGTATACTATTTCTTTTTTAGAATGGGATAAGGATCAGAATAGTATCATTAGTTTTGATATAATTGATACAAAAGGTTAAAATATAATCTTTGAGTAATAGTAATAATAAATAAGAAGTTAAAGTGTATAGAACATTGTTATCTAAATAAATATGAGTAAAATGTATCAAAGCCTGACAATCACCTGCGTTATGCAAACTGGATGTGAGGTTTATAATAAATATTTTTGGCTAAAATATAGGTTAACGTTTTTAAAAATTGCGCCATTTAACTATACTACACGAGCCGAATCCAGATAGAAATTTTAGTTTAAATAATATAATAATGATAATAAATTACAAAATGTTTTCCCATAATAATATCATCGGTTGTATTAATAATATTAAGTAAATCAATGTTTAGGTTTTTGCAACACATAAAAATATATAGAGTTACTGATATTGAAAAAAAATGAACGATATATGGAAATATTTTTTAATCCATATTTATTTTTTATCTTGTATAGAAATCGGTGGTATTAAAAGTGCGACATTATTTTAAATATATATTATGATGGGGAAAATTTTAGAAAAATTGAAGGTGTTATAAAAAGATATCAAAATTTTATTATCGTTAAACGTGAAACAACTTCTTGTTAAAAAAATACTCCCTTTAACTACGATTACAATGGCTATTCCTTAAGGCTAAGAGTTTTAGATTACAAGGTCTGGTTTATCTCAAAAAAATTCTAAAATGATCTTTATTTTGCTTATTAGACAATCAATATAACTTAAGGTTGATCACAGGGGGCCATGAGGTATGGCTATGCGGAATATTAGAAATGACATTCTAATATAATCATGTAAATCCAGGTTTAATTAAGAGATAAATGCATCCCCTTTATTTATTTAAACCTCCACTAACATATAAATATATTATATAGATTTTAAGAAAAACACAAGTATGCGTTACTAAAATATCAGATTCATTCAGTAAATTTAATAGTAAACCTTTCCAGTGAATATTTTATTAAAATGGATATAACATAGTAAAAATTATAACCAAAATATTATTTATAATATAATTATTAATTTTAAATTTTTAGGAATTCTTTAATTAATTAATATCATAAATATAATATGTAGAAATGTTTCGTAACATTCCAAGTAGTAATTACATTTATGATCTGCTTCGTTCTCTGACAAATTCACGTAACACATTATGCTATAAATTATAGGATCATTTTGTATAATATTCTCGACAATGTCATTGTAATAAATTTCCAGGGTCAAAGATGCATTGTTCTGTTCAACGATTGCCTAAAATAATGGTTTATATAATAATAATAAAGAAGTAAGATTAGTAGGAAATCGAATAGGTTAGAAAATAGAAAAATGGGGAATTTGATCTATAATAATAATGGCTATTGTATAAAAAAAAATTATTAATAAATACATTTCCTCATTACATATTGATTCATTCCTAGGTGAATTCGATGAACCATTATTGATGCAGATTAATATTATAGTGCAAAGAGCAGATCTATTGGAGTTTACATGTATAATCTATCATCTAATTTTTTTTATTAAAATAATTTTGTGATATATACATAATGTAGTGTATGTATATGCTAACTTAAACCTATTAATTATTTTTAGAAAATGATATAATATATTTTTTAAAATACAATAGGATACTAAAAAAAAGATATACAAAAAATATTATTCGTTTGTAAAAATGCTAAAACTTAAAGTTGTGAATTTGATTGATTATTAGGTTGTTACCCATCCTATAACTAAGACCGATTAATCAATTTATGACTCCAAAGGGATCCTGAATTGCTATTAGCAAATAAACAGATCTAAGCTAGCTTTGTAGACCAAAAATATAATTTTTATCAATTGAAAATGGTTAAATATTACCGTCATATTTTCTGAAATATGAAAGTCTTCCCAATATTTTAATGATTTTTTCATATCCTCAAGAAGTGTGGAATATGTTTAAATTGTAAGCATGTCTACCATAGTAATATTGGATCACGGATGTGTATATTAAATCAATGAAGTGCAAGTGGGGATGTGCTAAATTACTAAAGGGATACAAAGGCAGATTTCTATTATATAATTTTTATTTTAATATTTATCAATTTTATATTTCTAATCAACTTTATAAAGATTGTCTTATTTCCTTCGGAGATAACCAAATTGTAAATTCCCTCAAATGTCACGTAATGAGAAAGACTTTGTTCATCTATATAAATTGCTTTTGAATGGCAATAGCAATATTATATAAATAAATAAAATTTATTTTTTTTAAATTAACTTTTTTCATAGCTAGATTCAAAGTTGGGAAGGCCAAGGCCTAAATAGTATAATAATACATAATAATAGAATAGAATAGAATTAAAATAATAATTTTACTGTTGTTATCTTGACAATTTTGCAGGATGACATTAACTTTGGGACTTGAATAGAGAATTGAACCATTATTATACTTGAATAATATGGATATTAATTTTGAGAATGGGTACCTCAATGAACCTTTAAGAATTATATATGATTCGTGGAATTCATGAACTTCAAGTAATCTCCGGTATGGTTGTATAAATACTTTAAATAAAGAATTTAAAAGATATGTATATGAGACGAATTTAGAAAGGTTAAATATATTTACCCTTGTAGCTGTTTTGTTAGTAATGTACTTATAATCATTAAATAAATGTGAGTTTCATTGGATACAAATTTCATCCCGTATGTTAAATTCGAATCTACATCTTCTTCAGCTAAGATATCTTCTAATGATTTAGGATTCGTATCTATATAGAACTAAACATTATTAAGTTAGAAGTTAAATTAGAGATATATAGAATTACTGTAAACGATTATTTCTATACCTTAAAATATATGCACAATCTCATTTCTTAGGTTATATTTGTTTTAAATTTTATTTAATAAATATAAATGACATTTTACTTTCAGGCAAAAAGAGTCATATTTTTAATTTAGATTAATCAAAATTTTGTAATATAATTTTATAATTTTTTAATACCGTAGCGTTAAGTGCCTTAGTTATCAATTTCATCGTTTATATATTCATTATCAAGGAAATAACTGTAATAGGAATGTGAACGATTATTAGATAGCATTTGTGGCATTTCCCAAAAAACTAAACCATCAACCATATTCAACTTAGCGTCAGTTTGATATCTTTATATTTTTTTTATAATATAAATCTTATGTATACATTCATAATATATGCATTTTATTTTTACAATATCTAATTACACTTCAAATAAGTAAGCCGCTTTGTATATTTTGAAAATGTAGATTACTTTTCAAAATCTTCTTTAAACTTTATTTTAGAAATAAGTATGAGAATACCAAGGCTACTTGTGTAATTTATTGAAGCATAATATGTGCGAAAATAATTTTTGTACAAAATACTATGAAAAAAATCATCAAACCCTTACCTATATAATAAATTCAAAATTTTTTAATTATTAAAATTATTCAAAATCGTTTTTAATAAAAGTCAGTTATGCCTTGACAATCCATAAACCTGGTAAGTTTTTTATAGATAAATAGTAAAATAATATAAAAATGATACCTTTTGACCATTAAATTAAAATTTTTAAATTTATAAAACTATAAAAATTTTTATAATTTCATTTTATATTAATAGCTGATTTCCATATAATATTTTAAAAGAATTCTATTTCTGTATAATTTAAGATATGTAATATTTACTAACGCAATTTAATTGGCTTGATTTTACTAAATCTTAGGTTATTATTATAGAATACCTTAAATATTATAATCTCGTCTAAGTATTAAAAGAGGGTTTTAACTTTCATATAATGAGTATTAGTATTTTACCATTTTAAAACTTTTAATACTATGATAAAATTTAATATCGTGATTCCTGAAAAAAAACTAATTTTATCATTAAAAAATAATAATAGATGTGGAATATAAAATAATTTATGGCATAAATATTCTCTAAATCTTAACTTATAAATATTACTGGTTTTAAAATTAAATCTAATAAAATACAAGTTCTTATGTCAAATATTCAAAGATATATATTTTAATTTTTTTAGATTTTCTAATGATGCCGTTCACTTTTTTTAATTACTTTTGGTTAATGCTCTAACAGCGAAAACTTTATAAAGCAATTAGTATATTATGAAATTTAAATTATGGTAAAGCCTAATAAGAATTCTAATGTTAACTAATTCAAAATAAAAATTATTAGCTAAATATAATTTTACAATTATAATGATAAAAAAAATTAATTATAGTTAGAAAGATTTATATATATATGTAAATTAAAATATACTTAGAAGTATTGAAGTGTATATTAAAGTCGTAAGTCTTTGGATATGCCAGTTGACAGAAGTCTACTAAAATAGCTTACCTTAAATTCCTGGTATCTTGATGACGGCATAGTCTCGGGCAACCTCTCCACAATTAGGTCCATCCCCCTCATCATTAAGAATCTCACACATATAACAGGACTATCTTTCAACCTCCGTTAATGTGAGATTTGCTTTCTAAGTCCCACTTCTATCCCTTCAGACATGCATATCACGGCATCAACAGGGGACGAGATGACACATCTAGGATAACCGATAGGAGGTGAAATTAACAATTTATCCAATTATATACATTATTAAATTAACTCCCATCCCATCAATTTTTTTTTTTAATAAAAAATTATTTCAACATACCTAAATCCTTTACGACCTGTTAAGGGTCTTCTAAAAACATATTAAACCTTAAATTTTCCAATTCATCTTATCTCGAACCACCCATCATGGTAAGTCAGGTGGTATTGGTATCCGATCCCCGATACGACTTTCCCTCTCAGCCTTTATCTCATTTCGTCTTGCTGCTCATCGATAATGGATCCACTCTTTTAGATACTGACCTCTCGCAGTTCACCTTTTGGGACAACATGCTCACCCACCCTTTGTCGTCCCGCTTTCAGCATTGACTGGGATATTTATCTGTTCCATTGAATACCTTATTTAGAACAGGCCCTTTGAGGACAATCTCAATAATTTAGTATTATATGCAAGCTCAGGTTACATGGCTGGAAGCCATCTCCAGTTCCAATCTTGACTGACGAACAGCTACGCATTTCCATAGCACTCCACCTTGGCTGTAATGCTGTGATTCCATACATTTGCATCGACTGCGGCCTTCATATCGAATCGAAAGCTTAGCATCTTGCCCTGCAAGTTCTCCCATGGACGACAACCGCGTCATAAATCTATTAAGAACATTCTCCTAGCTGCTCATAAAAAATTAATATTCCACCCTCGAACCACTGGTCTTCTCAAACGAAAACGCCATACACCCTGATGGCATATCTCTCATTTACTGGACCAATGGTCTCCCACTTGCTAGGGACCATACCTGTGTCGATTTTGCCGCCAAGTCTAATCTCTCATTTCCTGCCATCGAAAATGTCGAAATCTTATAAAAAAACAAATATGCTTGCTCACCAAACCGTGTTTATCCCAATTGTTACTAATACCCTAGGCATGTTCAGAAGTGATGCTTTCAATTTCATTAAAACCATAGGAAATAAATTAAGGCAGATCTCATGGACCCCAATGAAGCATTTTACCTTCGCAGGCAGCAGATTTCCCTGGAAATCTGCCGGTCCAATTTTTTAAGCAATCACTATTCTCTAGTGTGATTTGTACCCTTTATAAAAAAAAATTTTTTTTCTCAGTTCTTTTATATACATATATTTTTTTAAAAAATTCAGTTTTATAATATATTTTTAATTTGTAAAAGAAAATTTGTGAAAATTTGTTATTTTAAATATAGTATTAAATGAAAAAAAAAAATATAAATTTTTTAATCATAATTTTACCGAAAAAAATGTTTGGGAAAGAATAAACTCTTTCCCGTGAGACGTTTTTAAGCTGCTAATATTGATTATTTTTAAATATAAAAAATGATATATATATAGTGAATTCCATGATAAATCTAGATGAGTTTCAACTCGTACCCCTAAGATTTTTCTTAGATTTTTACTAGAAACTTGTATTGGATATTATAGCTAAAAAAAAATATAAAATTTTAGCCTCTAACTCCAAAATACGTCTCAGCTAAGGTTGAAAAAATGGGTCATTTTGGGCAAAACATTTTCCCTTTAAATTATAATTATCTTTAGATATAATTAAGCTAGCCATATAAATTAATTGCCAAATGGTAAGCCTTTTAAATTATATAATGTTAAAAAAAAATCCCGATTTTAAAAATATAAATAGATGAGTGCGATGTGATGATAAATTGAGATATTAATATTAATTATTAATTGTATATATATATATGTATATATATATAATTTTATCGCCGGGGCCTAATGGGTAAGATGTACGATTGGAAACACATGAACAAAGACGCAGGTTCAATCCTGGTAAGGAACAAAAACTTTCAAGTTTTTCTTCGGTGACTGATGTGTAAAGACATATGGTATGATGAATTTCGGAGCTTAGAGATGACACCCCGGTCACCGACAGGCCTGGACAGCCGGGTGCTAAGGATACCTGTCCAATAAACAAAATGACAGAAGTTAATGGAAATATGAATATGAAAGTTAGGGCGTTCCCTCCATGAGACGCGCAGGGTGTAGACATCCATCCTGTGAAAAATAAAGTAAAGGAAGGTCAAAGCAAAGAAGACAAGACTGGGAATTGGCATCGATGTTGAACAAGAGAAAAGTTGATATAGCGTGCATACAAGAGACGAAATGGAAAGGACAGAAGACTTTGATGATTGGAGATGGGTATAAATTGTACTATAATGGACTTGTTAGCAATAGGAACGGTGTCGGCATCATCCTCAGTCAAGATCTAACCTCCTCAGTTGTAGAAGTTAACAGGATCTCATAAAACTCTGCATTGGTCTTGGTCAATCAATACTACACATCCTATCAGTATATGCTCCTCAAACGGGTTGCAAGGAAGAAGAAAAAGATGACTTTAGAGCTATCCTTGATGAAGCAGTAATGGAAATCCCTAAGGAAGACCTAGTCATAATTGGAGGTGACTTAAATGCGCATGTGGGGAAAGCAAGAGATGCTACAAAAGGCATCATGGTGGTTTTGGATACGGAGAAAGAAATGATGAAGGAGAGCACGTACTGAAATTTGCGCAAGCCTTCGACCTTGCCTTAACCAACACCTACTATAGGGAAAAAGACAGTCATTTAATAACATACGAAAGTGGTACAAGGAAAACACAGATAGATTACATGCTAATCTCTCGCAGAAGATTAAAAGATGTAATAGACTGCAAAGTCATCCCAGGAGAAGATATCGCCGCGCAACACAAGCTTAATCATGGATTTACAAATCTCAAATAAATCCACTCAGAATAAGATAAAACTGGAACCATGCATCAAATGGGGCAAATTAAAAACAATGACTTATGCCTTTGCAATAAATGCAAACATTTTAACAATAGATTCCTCACAAGTCAGTGAAAAAATTTGGACAGACCTTTCATCCAGATTAAAAGACACTGCCAAATCAACACTATGCTTGACAAGAGGAGGCAACAAATAAATATGGTGGTGGAATGAAGAGATACAAACCACTATACAGGAGAAAAAATCCCTTTAAAAATATGGTATAATTCCAAAACGCAGATGACAAGTCAAGATACAAAAAATCCCAGAGAATAGCTACAAAGGCGGTGGCTAGGGCCAAATCTATGACATACGATGACATGTACGAAGATCTACATACCAAAGAAGGGCAAAATAAAATATACAGATTAACGGCGAGAAAAGAATACTAGGGATATAAACGGAGCTCCGAAAGTAATCAAAAATAAAGATGGGAAATTGATAATAAAGGAAAAAATAATGAATCCACACATATACTACAAAATGAACACTCCCCATGTCAAGACCTTGTACAAACTATAACAGAACAAGAGATAATCACATGCCTATGAAAAACAACAAAGCTAGGGGTCCAGACGATATTCCACTAGAAAGTCTTAAAGCACTAGGAGATGATGGAATACATCTCCTCACAAATCTGTACAATAAAATACTTGGAAATGAAGAGGTTCCCCAAAAATGGAGGCAGAGCTATCTAGTTTCTATCTTCAAAAATAAAGGGGA